CCGTGAATCATGTTGTTTCTCTTTCCAAAAATTTAATGCATAGCCTTACAATAATTTGTCAATTAACAGAGTCCAAAATGGTGAAAGCCCCTCATTCCAATTTAATCTCTCTTGCGACTTTGTCCAAACAAATGGTAAACTCATGTTTTTTTTTTTTTAACAAGACACAACATATTTTGAAAAAACTATCAAATCGTAAATTATTTTGTGAAACACAAGGTTGTTAAGATCTAATAGACATAAAGTTAATTTCAGTAACAATATTAGTTGAAGAAATTTTTTGTTATAAATTTTGTTGAGACTGTGAAAAAAAAAACTCTGTTGAGACGAGATTTTTAAAATAGACTCGCTAATATTTGAAGCTTTTTCCATTGAAACATTTTTTATAATTATTTTACTTGATAGCTTTAAAATAGACTCGCTAATATTTGAGGATTTTTTCCTATTAAAATGGTTTTTTTACAACTTTTTCTTTAACTTGTCTATAAAATTATAAATCAAAGAAATCACGTGTTGTGGAAATTTTCAGCCTATAACCAATCATGTTAATAACTGCATCGAACACTGCTCAAGATCTGCTTCAACATCTCCTTCAACTCTGTTTCAGCTATTTCTATCTTACTGTCTCTACCTCAAACTTTTTTTTCTTCATGTTCTAAGAGTTTCTTAAATCAGCCAGCAATATACTAACACAATGTTTGCATTGCATGAAGCAAATTGAAGCCTTATGCTTCAGTTGCTGATTTTGCGTGAGGGAGAAATGATGAAGCTGTTGTAACAAAATCGCCATTTGAATCACGAGCATAATTGTATTTGGTCAACAATTTTAAGTTTTCAATTAATATGCTATATTAGGTTTTTTTTTTTTGGTCGGCAACACTTTTTTATTGATAAAGCCCAAAAGGCTATAACAGAAGAGCCCAGTCCAAGATTTACGAAATTAACAATTGAAAACCAAACCATAATTAATAAAAGATTATGATAAGCACAATTATGGTTTAGATAAGAACATGTGGCTATCTACCAACCACGCGTGTACTCCATCAAGAGCCTCCGCAAATCTTCGATGGACTGTCACCGGACCTCCGTCGATCTCCGAATAGCCGCCGCTAATCATCTACGAAACGACGAGAATCCTTCCTACCTTATGCCGATCTCAAATCCCAACGTAGAAATCGCCAAAATAATCTGAATACATCCTTCAATCCACTTCAAAACTCCTCCGAAAATCACCAAATTCGGGGAAGCTCCATCACCGCTACACCCAAATACTGATGTAGACTTGTTCCAACTTTGCTCATGCATCGTGAGCAAAAGGTAAATGACATAGATATTACTCCTCGAGATATTAGAGAGAAACAGAGAAATTTAGAAGAAAACCGGAGATCTCGCTATATTTGGTTTAATAACGAGATTGGGCTTTGACCAGAAAAAAAAACAAAACAAAACAAGATTGGGCTTAATTATCGAATTGGGCCCACCCTTATTTTATTTTTGGGCATGGGCCTTATCGAATGCTTTTTATCTCGGCGAAGGAGTTCCTCGGAGAAGTTCAGAGAGAAAACGGAATATTGAGAGGCATATCGGAGAAGAAGAAGAAGTGTTGAGTGGAATCGATGTCGACAATATACGTGCTAGAGCCACCGACGAAAGGAAAGGTCATCGTCAATACAACTCATGGTCCAATCGACGTCGAGCTGTGGCCAAAGGAAGCGCCTAAATCCGTACGGAACTTCGTTCAACTATGTCTCGAAGGTTACTTCGATAACACCATTTTCCACCG